GAGTGTTGGTCACAGGAAGAGGAGAGGACATTTTGGAAGTATCACGATCTTAAAATTACTCAGGGGGGACAAGATATACTAAGTTTACTCTGGGGCAGAAAACAACCCCCTAATACACACACAAACCACACCCCACAACACACACTGCAATAACAGAACTCAACTGATAAAACACCAACACACACACACTCCAGTTTCCAGCCAGTTCAGATCCTTGCTCTGGGAGTACAAGCAGAGACCTGAATACCATCGTCAACTGAAGAAAAGAACCACAGAGAAGGGAATAAAAAACAACCAAAAGACACATCAAGAACTCAAAAAAAGCTATTTCTCATGCTATAAAAAGTAAAGCAAACCAAGACCAAATTGCAGATGTTAATTTCAAGACAATTATTCAAAAATCAACTTCAACACATTATAATCCCGTTTAAATTGCGCATTTATTTAAATGAGAATTATTTTCCTAAGCTCACATGCACTAAGAATTACTGCAGAGCACCCAGCACAGTGTAAGTGCCTGCTTAGAACAGGCAGTCAGTAAGACACTGCACAGCAGAGATACCAGTTCTTCCCAAATTATATGCATAAACAACACAACTAGAGCAAATTACCCCTCCAATACTTGCACTTTCCCACCTCTTTCTTCCCCAGCAGAAAAGCCTCACAAATAAAAGGGGCAGACTGCTTAAAGGAGGATACAAAAGAAAGGAAACAAAACAAGATGTAATCAAACACAAGAGGACAAACTGATGGTAGATACTTCAGAAGACCGATCAGATAGATGAGCATGGCAGAGCTGTGAGATCCAAGGAGCTGATGTTTCCCACTCTCCTTCCTCTGTGCCTTCACAGGTCAGGATGACCAGGCTCCAGCCCAGTGTTAACGAGTTCTCCGTGCGTGACCCACTTCTTTCCCGCTGTGAGGGGCAGCACACATTGTGCTAACACTGCCTTGTCAACATTGGCAGTAGATTTCTACGCAGCATCCTACATGAGAGATGGATACACCTGAGCAATCACAGGTACCACATCCACCTGATTAAATCTAGCATGGTAACAAGGAGTTCAGTGCAGGGGAACTGCTTGAGGTACTTCATCCGCACCCTCACCAGCTATGAGGAGTACATTTCAGTTCTCCTCTGATCCCAATACAAAGCATCACAATAGCCTTACAGAACTACTCAATTTTAGGCATAGTGCCAGCGAATCTCAGGAGCTTGTAAAAGATCTCTCTGACCCTCCCTGTTGGGACTAGGTCCTTTCCTTGACTAACTTTTTACCCCATTGCAAAGGCAAGTTTTAGGCATACTTGTGCTAGAAACTAATTGAATGTTCACCTTCGAGCTCTGCTTTTTGAGAAACCAGATGTGTGCCCACTACCTGCAGAGATCTGTGTTCAAAGTGTGGAAGACAGGCAAGACATACAGATTCCTATTCCCAGAAAACAAACCCAAGGTGGTTTTTTTCCTAATGCTAATCCAAAGCTTCCTAGTGTATTTTTTATGTATGCTCACAGTGTACGTCACAAAGCCAACACAGCAAGCAGCACAGAGCTGCTAAAGGCAGCTC